CCAAATTACTTGCGAACGAAAGTCTCATGCCGATCTTAATGCCAAGCAGTTAAAAGAAATAGAATCGCTAAAGTCTATGGTTAAATCACTGGAAAGTATAATATCTTCGATGCAAAAAGCTTCATCTTTGAAGGATTCTGATATCATCTCTCTTGGAACTAAAATAAATGAACTGGAGGCTGAGTTGGAACAAGCTACACAAAAAGTTTTATTAAAGAATTCCAATACTAACCAGTTGTGTAGCAATCCTTCTCTTGAGATTAAAGCAAAGGAATTAGAGAATGAACTGGAGAAAGTTACGCAAAATTCATCATTTAAGGATGGGTTAATTTTTTGTCTCAGGTCCAGGGTAAGTAATCTGGAAGATGAACTAGATCAGATTGTTTCGCAACCGCATCAGATAATTCATGATTCAAAAATAGGTAGTGCAGAAGCGGACCCAGCCTCATCATCCAACGATTATAAGCATGATGAAGTAGTAGAAGAGATACCCCATTTTTCTTCACACTACTCAGAGCACAAACCCGATGGAAAAGGAAATTATGATAGTATTTCAGCCGTACCTATTATTGCGTTAGGAGGTAATAGTAATACTTTAGTTAATGATCAGAAAATAATCCCGCTTATATTCTTTGTTATTCTTGCCTTCATAGTAATATTAATTATATGGTATATATACAGGCAATTTTTCATCCAACCAAAAAGGAAGAAATTTTTTATCCAGTCTATAGAAATCAGAGTTATGGATTCCCAATCCGTCATGCGAAAGAACCAAAAGACAGGACTACCTCTTATAAAACTTTACCTTATGGATATAGATGAGGCTACAAAGCATGAATCATCCCGAATTCAGTCGCATCCAGCCAGCCCATCATGGTCTTTCAGTATGCTAGTCACTGAGAAAAAGTAGATCAGGTAAGACTAATATTTTGGCAAATCTTTTTCTTGGTGATAAAGCTGAATATATATATAAAGGTAAAAAAGGCGGGTCTAGATATATTGCATGTGATGATTTGATAGTTTGTAGTTACCATCCCGATGAGCCTAAGTGGGCAATTGTAAGAAAAATATATGGTATAATTTCAAAAGATCCGAAAGCGCCTTACTATGAGAATATACGATTTAGCTATATA